TTGGTCGACCAAGGAAGCTCGGCCGACATCCTATACTGGTCAACATTCCTCAGGTTAGACATTCCCCACTCCCTCATACAACCTCATACCGAACCTCTAGTCGATTTTGCAGGGACAAGCATTCACACTCGGGGATATGTAGACCTACTGACGACTTTCGAAGCACCCCCGGTTTCCAGACAAGTCTTGGTACGATACCTACTCGTGGAAGTCGACACCTCCTATAACGTCATCATCGACAGACCAACCCTAAATCAGCTCGGGGCGGTGGTGTCCACCCCACACCTCACCATGAAATTTCCAGGGCACGATGGGAAGATCATCTCCATCAGTGCAAATCAACAGGTAGCGCGACAATGCTACGCAGAAAGCCTGGAAACCGTCTCACCGAGCGAACAACGCAAGAACGACCTTACCGCTCTAGCTCACACCGACCACGAAGAAATCACCGATCTCGACCCGAGATCCGACGCTCATGATGAACGACCCAGCCCCGTCGATGAGCTCGACGACCTTCAAATCGGGAAACTCCCCGGACAGACCACAAAGATCAGCCAGCAATTAACCCCCGAACTACGACAGCAACTCCAAGCGGAGATCCTCAAGAACGCCGACCTCTTCGCCTGGTCTAGCGCTGACATGCCCGGTATAGACGCCGACTTCATCTGCCACAGATTAGCAATACACAAGGAGGCAAAACCAGTCGCCCAGAGAAAGAGGAAGGTCGGTGGGGAAAGACGGGAAGTCGTCATCGTCGAAACGCAGAAGTTGCTCAACGCCGGCTTCATCCGTGAATTCAGGTACACCACATGGCTGACAAACGTGGTCCTAGTAAAGAAGCACTCGGGAAAGTGGCGTATGTGCGTCGACTATACCGACCTCAACAAAGCATGCCCCAAGGACTCATACCCCTTGCCGAGCATCGACAGGTTAGTCGACGGAGCCTCCGGACATGCCCTCCTCAGCTTCCTTGACGCTTACTCCGGGTACAACCAAATAATGATGTACCCGCCTGATGAAGTGCACACGTCCTTCATCACTGACCACGCCAACTACTGTTACCGGGTGATGCCCTTCGGCCTCAAAAATGCGGGAGCAACATACCAACGGCTGATGGACAAAGTATTCCACCACCAAATTGGGCGAAACTTAGAAGTTTATGTGGACGACATGGTGGTTAAGACCATCTCAGCAACGGACCACGCCTCCGATCTCGCCGAGGTGTTCGCCCAGATCAGGAACCACAACATGCGCCTCAACCCGGAGAAGTGTGTCTTCGGCGTCCAGGGGGGTAAGTTCCTCGGGTTCATGATCACCAACAGAGGAATCGAGGCCAACCCCGAGAAGTGCAAAGCCATCATACAAATGCAAAGCCCACAAACGATAAAAGAGGTTCAACGCCTGTCCGGACGGCTAGTCTCGCTATCCCGCTTCATCCCCAAACTTGCGGAGAAAGCAGGGCCAATCTTTACCCTGCTAAAGAAGCCAAAAAACTTCCTTTGGACAGATCAATGCGAAGAAGCTTTCCAAAGCTTCAAAAACTTCCTCACAACTCCGCCAGTCTTACAGAGGCCGGATCACAATACCGACCTCCTTCTCTACCTGGCGGTGGCAGAAAACGCCATCAGCGCCGTCATTGTACAAGAACACCAAAAGACACAGACGCCTATCTACTTCATCAGCCGAGTCCTCCAAGACGCGGAAAGAAGGTACCAGATGATCGAGAAACTGGCGTTGGCACTGGTCACCGCAGCCCGGCGACTCCGACCCTACTTCCAGAGCCACCAGGTGGTAGTTAAAACTGACTACCCCATCAAACAAATCCTACGAAAACTTGAGCTCGCCGGACGTATGATTGCCTGGTCGATAGAACTATCCGAGTTCGGCATCCAGTACGAAAGTTGTGGACCCCTGAAAACCCAGTGCTTAGCCGATTTTGTATCCGAGCTCACACCGGCTACTACTGAGGAATCCCAGGCATGGACCCTACATGTTGACGGGTCCTCCAACTCCAAAGGTGGGGGTGCAGGCATCATTCTGGAAGGGCCAAACCAAGTCACCTTGGAGCAATCCCTCAAGTTCGGCTTCAAATTAACCAATAACCAGGCAGAGTACGAGGCGCTCCTCGCCGGACTAAGGTTAGCCCACAATCTCGGAGCTCGAAGGGTGAACTGCAACAGCGACTCGAAACTCATGGTGGAACAACTTAGTGGGACATACCAGGCAAAAGACACCCTTCTACAGCGGTACTTCGACACCGCATCCCAACAGATCTCGTCCTTCGACGAATTCTCCATAAAACATGTACCACGAGAACAAAACGCCAGAGCAGACCTCCTATCAAAACTCGCCAGCACCAAAAGGCCCGGTCAACACCGAACCATCATCCAGGAAACTCTGCACTCACCTAGCCTGGATGGCAAAATCGTCAACGTCAACGACAATGAAGAACTGGGATGGATGACAGATATCTGGAACTACCTGAAAGAGGGCACCCTGCCCAAAGACAAAGACGAAGCACGAAAGGTGAGAATGAGATCAGCCAAATTCATCATCATCGATGATGAATTATTCAAACGTGGGATTTCCACTCCGCTGCTCAAATGCCTGACCACGTCTCAAGCAGCCTACGTCGTCAAGGAAATCCACCAGGTGATATGCGGAATGCACTCCGGAGCATGCTCAATGGCAGCCAGGGTACTCCGAGCTGGATACTACTGGCCCACTCTAAAGTCGGACTGCCAAAGCTACATCCAGAAATGCAAGAAGTGCCAACAATTTGGCAACGCGCACCGACAACCCCCCGAGGCCCTTCACCACATGATGTCAGCATGGCCTTTCTCCCAATGGGGAATGGACATCCTCGGGCCTTTCCCCCCCGCGAAGGGCCAATTGAAATTCCTCCTGGTAGCAATCGACTATTTCACCAAGTGGATTGAGGCATGCCCACTCGCCAAAATCACCACTGAGAACGTGCGGAAATTCACATGGAAAAACATTGTTTGCAGATTCGGGATTCCCCACGCCATCGTCACCGACAATGGGCGATAGTTCATCGCAGAAGAATTCGAAGACTTCCTCCGAGAGCTCGGAATCAAGCACTTCCCGACCTCGGTGGAACACCCCCAAACCAACGGCCAGGCCGAAGCAGCCAACAAGGTCATCCTTTGAGAACTCAAAAAATGGCTGGGGAACGCAAAAGGGCAGTGGCCCGACATGCTTCCCGACATCCTTTGGGCATATCACTGCACCCCCCAGAAAACCACGCAAGAAACATTTACAGGCTAACTTGCGGGGCCGACGCAATGATCCCGGTCGAAGTCGGACAAACGTCCCACCGACGCCCAGTCTTCAACAGCGAGCCAAACAACCACGAACTGGCAACCGACCTCGACTTGTTGGACGAGCTCAGAGACGAAGCCCAAATTCACGAAGAGGCCTGCAAACTCTGAGCTTCCCGAAGATAAATTCCCGGGTGAGACCCCGCTCTTTCCGAACAGGCGAACTGGTATGGCGATTACTGGGAGAAGCACGAAAAGACGTGTCGGATGGGAAGCTCGCACCCACTTGGGGCAGCCCTTTCCGAGTTGCAGAAAACCTGGAAAACGGAGCCTACCGATTAGAGGAGCTCAGCGGAAAGCCCATACTGCGAACTTGGAATGCCACCCACCTCAAATTTTACTTCAGTTAAGTCTTGTAGAAATAAACAGTGCACTCTTTTCCCACCTCAGGAAGAACATATTGGCTGAGCGGGTTTTTAACGAGGCACACAGTTTTTGTCAATAAAATGACTCACTCCTTTTTACTCGCATTCTCTTACTTTCATAACCTCATTACGTCCATTAGAGGTCGAGAACGAACCTCGTTACATTCATTAGAGGTCGAAAATGAACCTCACTACGTCCATTAGAGGTCGAGAACGAACCTCGTTACATTCATTAGAGGTCGAAAACGAACCTCACTACGTCCATTAGAGGTCGAGAACGAACCTCGTTACATTCATTAGAGGTCGAAAACGAACCTCACTACGTCCATTAGAGGTCGAGAATGAACCTCGTTACATTCATTAAAGGTCGAAAACGAACCTCACTACGTCCACTAGAGGTCGAGAATGAACCTCATTACGTTTATCAGAGGTCGAGAACAAACCTCGTTACATTCATTAGAGGTCGACAACGAACCTCATTACGTCCATTAGAGGTCGAAAACGAACCTCATTACGTTTATTAGAGGTCGAGAACGAACCTCATTACGTTTATTAGAGGTCGAAAATGAACCTCATCACGTCCATCAGAGGTCAAGAACGAACCTCATTACGTTTATTAGAGGTCGAAAACGAACCTCGTTACGTCTATTAGAGGGCTACAACGAACCTCGTGAAACTCATTAGAGGTCGATAACGAACCTCGTCGCAGTTATTAAAAGTCGAAAATAAACCTGACCGCGATTACTAGAAGCCGGGTACAAACCCCGACACGCTCACCCGAGGTTGAACTCGACCCCGACATTACGAAAGACAAGCCCGAACGCTTGAAACGCGCCGTCAAACAAAAGGACGACTTCGAGTCTCGACACAACAAATTCAAGGTGAAATACCAAAACCAAACACAGGTGCAGAACAACACTCACATGTACAAAAGTCATGATCCATACATAAACACAGATACAGAAGTACATGCACAACAAAATTGTCCTATACAGAGGTGTTGTCGCTAGAACTCTCCTCGACATTGTCCTCCCGGACTAACCGCCCGAAGCGAACAACTTTTTCCAAATGCATGTCGGAAAAGTCAAACCCCGGCGCGAGGAGCCTAGCCTGCCGAGTAGCCTTGAGGAAGCCCCTCTTGTGTTCCACCACGATGGAACGTTCAACTTCCTCAAGCCTCCTCTTCAACGCCGCAGTCTCGGCCTCCAGAGCCGAAAGACTTGCACTCTGGGTGGCCATCTCCTCCTCCTTACTACTGAGGACCACCTCGTCGCGAAGACGCTCCTCGGTCACGGATACCACCTCGCCCTTCGAGAAAGCTACCTCCTCCTCCAAGAAGCGAACCTGGCTAGCATAACCCTCATTACTGCGCAGAGCGGCCCCCAACGATTTCCGGACCTCGGCAAGATCCCCCCGGGCCGCCTGGAGCTCGGTCCCCTGCATTTTCGCCTCAGACAGGGCGGCAGCCAAAACCTTATTCTCCTCCACCAAGGGCTGCACCCGGCCTCTCAGCTTCGCTAGATCCTCCTGCTGCCGTGACCATTTGTGCATCCAGTAATCCACAATGGTCGTGCCCCTCTGCAGGAAAACCTGAGCAGCATCAAAACTCCCCATAGGCCCGGCAGACTCGAGCATCGCCTGGTCGGCCGCGCTCAGTGACCCCCTCGGAAAAAATTTCTCGGGTGTCAATGAAGCACTCCACAAGGAGTCAATCTCCTCCGACGCGCTCAGATGCTCCAATCGCGTCGGGGAGCCCTCCTGCGCGTAGCGGTACGCAAGATAGGGACGTTTTGGAGGCCCCCCTCGCCGCCGGTGCAGAGGTCGGGACCCCAGAGCTAGGACCCTCCCCACGAGGACCGGCCGAAGCAGAAGCAGGAGCCCCCGGCTCTGCCCCAGGGACATCGACCCCACTGCCGTCGACCTCGGAACTCTCAGAACCTCGGTGGCCCTGCTCACCTGCAAAAGAAGTATAAGAAAAGGTATAAGTCCCGCAAAACAATGGACAACCCAGAAACAGCAATTCAAAAGATCACAAACACACGCTCCTTACCCCAACAGCAGGGGCAATCCGCCCGACGGTCGGAACCTTTGCTCCGGAAGTCGTACTGACCTGACCAGCAACCCGGGAGGACGACCCGACAACAGTCTCCACCTACAATAAACAATCCCAATTCAGGAAACTAAAAGAGAGCGTAAAAAGAAAAAGCAAGTAATCGACAAGCAGTCCCAACCTCTCGTTCGGGAGCTCGGATCGACACCCCGGCAGGAGAGGCGAGAGACTCGGCAGCCGTCGCTGCCCCCTCGGAACCCACCCGAGCTCCACTCTCAGGCAGACGGCTCCCGGGCAAACCAGCCACCTCAACGCTGGCGGCCCCAGCAACAACCTCCTCCACCTCGCGAGGAACAGA